TTAGAAAAACATGACATTTTCAGTTGTATCCTATTACATCGTGGGACTTCGGATCTTGTTTAAACCCATGTCAGGGGGTCTCTGCACCATGTGTCGTAGTCTGTTTTGACTGCTGTAACAAAATACCATATGCTGAGTAGCTTATAAATAACAAGACTCATTTCTCAGAGTTCTGGAAGATGGACAGCCCAAGACCAAATCCAGTGTCTGGTGAGGGCCCTTTCTTGGTTCAGCGTTGGCACCTTCTGTGTTCTTAAATGGTGGAAGGGGCAAAACATTTCCCTTGGGTCATTTTTATAATGGCACTAATCGTACTCACAAGGGCTCTGACCTCATGACTAAATCAGCTCCTCAAAGGCCCACCTTCTAACTCAGTCACCTGGGGATTAATATGTTGCCAAATCAATCAGCGGGGGAGATTCAAACATCAAGCCACAGCACCAGGCCAGAACTGTGCCAGTGGGGGAACACGGGCAGTACCTCATTATGTGCACATGGAGTGGAAGTCCAGGATGTCCACTTGACTTCTACTGACATTTGGGGGCAGAAGGGAAAAAGGGGCTTCCTCACTGCTGGGTGTAGGCAAGGCTTCTTTTGACACCATCCAGGCTGGGAAGGGAAGAGGTGCCCCTTTCCTGCTCTCTTCATGACCTTCACTAACAGTGTGAGGTGAAACCAGGGAATAGGGAGGCTCATTACTTCTGAGTGGTGGTTAGAGTCCCAGCTTCTCTGTTGGACTCCTCTGATACCATCCTGGCAAACGGGGAGGTGGGGGGAAGATGTCTCATTACTACTTCGTGAGAGCTAAAGTCCAGGTTCTCCATGTGGTCCTCACTGACACCTCTGGTGAATGGAGGGCAGGTCTGGCTTCCCACTAGACTTCTCTGACACAGTGTGAGGAACGTCTCATTACAGCTGGTTGAGGGAAGTCTAGGATCCCCACTAAACTTTGCTGATAGAGGTGGGAGTGAGGCTTCAGGTTTTTTTTTTGTTCTTTTTTTTTTTTTTTTCTGCGGTGTTTGGCTAGAATAGGGTAGTTAACATCTAATGGTTTTCTTTTCTTTTTTTTTTTTCTTTTTAAACTGAAAACTGGAAAAAAAAGTAACAATGAAATGTGTTCATATGAGAGAGAGAGAGAGAGAGAGAGAGAGAGAGAGAGGCAGGCAGACGAACAGACACAACTCTCAGCTGGGCTCAGTCACACTACAATCCCCCCTCTCCAAGCCCTCCAGCCAGCAAGGACTCTGACTGAGCATGTATGTACATACCCAGCATGTTTCAGGCCAACTAGGCTGGGGTTTCAAACTGTGGTCAGCATGTGGCTTCCAGAACCATGGTCCAATATGTTATGGGCTGTGCCTCGGAGGCTAGGCCAAAGTTTTCTTTATTTTGCTAGGTTTCCCCTTTTGTTCCTTTTGCTAGAGAGCAAAAGAGAAGGTTCTTGGGGCTCTTTTGTCCAAGCTCATTGGTATTTCCAAGTTGCTGACTTTTCCAGCACCCAGTCTGGGATATTCAAGGCCAAAAGAAAACCAGCGACTCAATAACATATTTTCCTTCTGATCTCGAGGTTTCTAGGCAGCCTGCTTTCTTTTTTCCATCTCTCAAACACTTCAACTCTTCTTATGTTCATTTTATATACACTGTACAGAGTTTTTAGCTGTACTTAGGAGAATAACAGGGAGAAGGGTATGTCTACTTTGTCTTGGAGTATTTAAAGTTACCTCAGGCATTTATCATTAATGTTTTATTTCTACAATGTGTTAACAAAACTTTACGCATCTCTATATTTTAGCTTTGTATGAAGCAAAAGGATATTAACAAACCATTTGCTGTTGTTTCATATTTGAAACCTCTGTTCACATTTCTGACTAAAGACTTGAGCTTTTGTTGGCAAGAGATTTTCCATCACTCAAGAAAAGAAGATGATGTGTACTGAGAAAGATACTTCTGCCTGTCACCACACTGGGCTCTGAATCTCTTACCTTTATCTACACCAATCACTCCAGCTCTTTCCCATTTGACATGATTAGACACAAGTGATTCCAAATTATGAAGGAAAACTAAGGCTCAGAGAAGTTAAATTGCTTGCCAAAGTTTAAGGAGCTTGTTGCTTCAGAGGAAAGAGCAGCAACTTGGTTTTGTAACTCTGAATCCTTTCATTATAATAATGTTCCTCCTTAAAATCTGATAATTAATAATGACATAGTTTCAAACATAAAACCTGAATAAAGTTAAGAACTGAATGTAAAATAAATTAGCTGTACTATTTAAAAAGTTTTTGTATGTGCTGAAACACATACAAATTTTATTCTGTTTCTTAATTTTAAAAAATGTTCACAACAGAAAAAGTCAAAAGATCTAAAGAAAAAAAAAAAGAATATAAAGGGGAACCAGCAGTTAGCGTAATGGCTATGTCGCTGGACTCCCACGTAGTTGACCGCAGTTTGCGTCCCGGACCCGGTGGCTTAAAACTCACGCCAGGCGCGTGTGCGTACGTGGCCAAGATCCTGAGAGGAGAATGGAGGAGAAGAGACTGCGGCATGACCAACCCCCCTGGGGGATGATTTCTCGCTTTCTGTCTCTCTGTCTGTCTGGCGAGCGCACGTGCCCTATAGCGAAAACCTCTCAAAAAAAAAAAGAATATAAAGGACATCAATCATGTAGCTGCTGGTTGGTACCTTAATGTTTACCTTTCCACAACCTTTTTTAAAAAATTATTATTTTTAAAATTTAACTTTATATTTATTTAAATTACTTTGGGGAAAAGAAAGGGGGGGTAATGCCACAATTTATCTCTACTCTATTGATATTCATTTATTTTCAGCCTTTTTTTTTTTTTTAAAGGGTTTTTGCCATAGGGTGCATGGAGACACAGAGAAGGAAAATGGGAAATCACTCCACATGGGAGATGGCCATGACACAGTCCTCCTCCATTCTCCTCCTAGGATTTTGGGCACACATGCCTGGGGTGATTTTCAAGTCCTGTCTTGGACTTAAACTGCAGCTGGCCATGTGGAAATCTAGTGCCTTAATACCACGCCATACGTTGGCCCCATTTTCAGTTTTTTGTTATAATAATGCAATTAAAATGTATACGGTCGATCATCTCCTTAGGATACACTTCCAGAGGTGTTAGTGTTGGTGAATGGGCAAACACATTTTTAGGCTTTTTTTATAATAATTACTTTTTTATTTAAGTTTATTTATTCATTCATTTATTCTTAATTTGAGCCGAGAAAGACACAGAGAGATAGAAAGAGAGAGGGAAACTGAGAAAGCAAGCCACCAGGCCCAGGACTCGAACCATAGTCAGCCATGTGGGAGTGTCCAGCACCTAAGCCACTATACCACCTGCTGGTCCCATAGGCTTTTGATAACTACTGTGAAACAGAAAGATCACAAGAATTTGCACCAGCACTGTGTGAGGAACCACTGCTTCGCACCTGCAAAAATATTGAATAATGTTTCTGTGTGTATAAACTTTGTCTTGCCTATTTGCTTTCCTTATATTTTACCTTCCTGTCCTGCTGCCTCATACTCCAAGTAAATTCTACTCTCCTTATTTGTGACTCAGCTCTAGCCTGACTGACTTCTGCAAAAACTTGACTGCCTAAAAAGAACTTTTCTTCTTGTAGACTTCTTACACTTATCATTGCTACAAACTGATATCTATCATTTTTTTTTTTTGGAGAGGTTTTTTTTCGTTATAGGGCGCATGAGCTCGCCAGACAGACAGAGAGAGACAGAGAGACAGAAAGCGAGAAATCACCCCCTAGAGGGGATGGTCACGCTGCAATCCCTTCTCCTCCATTCTCCTCTTGGGATCCTGGGCACGCATGCACACGTGCCCAGCGTGAGTTTTAAGTCACCGGGTCTGGGATGCAAACTATGGTCGACTACGTGGGAGTCCAGCAACACAGCCATTACGCTAACTGCTGGTTCCCTCATTTCATTTTTTTAAGAGAGGTTTTTGCTATAGGGTGCATGCACTCGCCAGAGAGATAGTAAGAGAGACAGAGAGACAGAAGGCAAGAAATCACTCTCTAGGGAGATGGCCATGCCACAGTCCCGTCTCTATTCTTCTCTTGGGATTTTAGGCACATAAGCACATGTTCCCGGAACCGCAGTCTACTATGTGGGAGTCCAGTGATGTAACCGTTACTCCATCTGCTGGTGTCTGATATCTATCATTTCTTGTTTATATTTTTATTTTCCAAGCCAGGTGGGGAACACTCTGTGGATGGGGTTATGTCTTCCTTCTACAAGTTGGCATTTTCTGCTGTGCATATTATAGTATAGAGACTCAGTAAACAGGCTGACTTCAATGTTTCTGAATTTGAACTTGGTTTCTGAAGCTTATTGCGTTTTTTTTGCTATGGAATAAGTGACTGTAACTCTTCCATACTGGGCTACATTGGTGCTTAGACCTGGAGATAAAATGTGTTATACTTGGAACATACTTTAATTATTGCTAATTTAGAATACTATGGGCAATTTCTAAAATGTACACAATACATGAAGACCTATTTTTGCCCATAAAAAAAAAAAAAAAGCTCACAAGTGATTAGATGACAGCAGCACACACTGGAAGACAGATTGAGGTTTCCTTAAAATTGCTTTGTGTGACCTTTGACTAGTCAATCGGGATTCACATCCCACCTTGGTTAAATGTTCCTATGAAAATTTTATGAAGTACTATATAATGACTAAAAGTCGTTATCAGTTCAATGAGTTCCTTGGGAAAAAGGCAATGCACAATTGACTAGGCATTTAATGCCCCAAATAAATCCATTTCTAACTTAAAATAAGAAGAATAGAGGTTAAGATGGCCAAACTGGGCTGCATAAATTACTTGGTTTCGACAGACCCCAGCATATTTTCGTGAGATTTTAAAAGGAGCTTCAACTTTGTCATTAAGTAGGTGCATATTTTCATCTCATTCTATGATATGAAACACTGAACAATGAAAATTCTAGACAAGAAAAGAAAGCAATGCTTACCTTCACTGCTGGCAGCATGTCCAAGGAGTCCAGTATGAACAACACTAATGCTTGCATCAGCATCATAAATTGATTAAATTGCCATGTCAGACTAAAGAGAAAAGTTGATATGAAAATGGCAAGAAGTGTCAGCCTCTGTAAAAAGAAAACCTTTGTATAATTTACATGTCTCTACTAATAAAAATCTTTGTAGACAAGTTTTCTCAAGAGCAACCAATATCTCTATAAACCAAATAGAAAAACTATAAACTGTTGCTCTAAAAACCCTTGCATTTGTTATTTAAGCTCTAAATATCCTAAAGTGACACTTTGCATATAAATATTCACATACGGTGTATGTGTTCAGCACTATTACGGAGGCGATAATGCACCAAATCGTATCTCAAGAGCAACGGCTTGAAAATTCTGACAGTTTCGCAGAAATTGTGTGTGGGTTTACTGCAACTATTTAAGGATAGATTATGTGGAGCACATTTTTAACATCAAAAATTGAAAACATTTTCTTTGCAAAGCAGGAAAAAGCTCAGAAAAAGAAAATTTAACTCAAGTTAAGAAACTGGTCATGGAATAAGCACTATTCGCATGCTTTGGGATAACATGCACATTGCATTTTTAAAAGCTTCTTATGTAAAATTGGGGAAATTAAAAGTATAGGTTTTATAAAACACTTACTTCAGGAAGAGGCTGTAAGTTTGGTCTCAGGAAATATGTAACTGCTGCGATCTGAATCGCAAAGAATGGCAGTGCCCAGTTCTCCCTCAGTGGAATGGTGAACTCAACTCTTGTAGTATCTATTCTGCACAAAAGAAAATGCAAATAGCCAAAGTGATAATTTTTAAGTTAATTTCCTCAAAGGTTTCCTAAAGTGAAAGCTAGAGTACATTAAGTTCAACTATACTTAGATTCTGGTCATTGGTTCTCCATAATAATAATTGTCCTTACCATCACCATCATCATAACATGAAATTAACATTGAGAAAACTTAAGGGATCTGTCCGTGGGTTTACATTTAACTAAGTGCTCGGACTGAGGTTTAAGCCTATATTAGCTGACTCTTAAACCCATGAATACGCCATGTTAAACTGACATTTCTAACTTTGTTACAGCCAACAGGCAATGTTAGGCATTCTCCCCTTCTGTATGTATTTGGTGCTGTATACTGAATCTTAAATTTGTCAATGGCAACCTTTTTTGAAAACTTCTTATGTCTCTGGGGACCAGCAGGTGGCATGGTGGTTGAAGCACTGGACACTCCCACATGGCCGACCATGGTTCAAGTCCCAGACCTGGTGGCTTGCTTTCTCACTTTCTCTCTCTATCTCTCTCTGGTCAAATTAAAAAAAGAAATGAATGAATAAATAAAATTAAATAAATAATTCTTCAAAAAAAAGATAAACTTATGTCTCCAGAATGTGAACCCCCTGGAAGATGAGTATAGCTAAGCTTTCATCTTTCTATATTCAGCACTGAGAATGATTCCTTAACATACAAGGCATTCAATAAATAATACATACACGTGTGTGTATATAATACAACCTTTTGAGCTTCAATTTCATCTCTAAAATGAGTATAACAGTACTTTTTAATTCTCATTGTTATCATCTCTAAAATGGGGATAATAATAGTATTTACCCTACAGGGTCATTAAAAGAATACATATAAAGCATTTTGTAGTGAGTATTTGCTGTGGTTTAAATGTGTGCCCCAGGGCTGGCCCCGCAGCCTGGTGACTGAGGGAAGCCTGATCTCGTATGATCCATTGTGGTTCTAATTTTGGCTTTGCAGCTTGAAAAATGCCCAGGCACATATGCGTGCGCATCCAAACTTCCAATAGAATAGAGAAAGTAAGGAGAAGGGTTGGTGGCGTGACCACACCCCATAAAGGAGTGCTTTCTCCCTCTTCCTTTCTAGCAAGTTTGTGTACCCTCTAGCTATTAAAAAAAAAAAAAAATCACCTCTCCAACGTTTATGTGTTGGAAACTTAATCCACAATGCAACAGGGCTGAGAGGTGGGACTTTTAAGGGGTGATAAGGTTATGTGGGTTCTGTCCTCATGAAGAAACAAATGCCACTATTGCAGGGGTTAGTGTTCTCAGCAGAGGTGTCCTTACAAAGGACGAGCTCCACCATCACCTCCTCATGTGGTCTACCATCTCCACCTTCCACCGTGGGTGATAGAACAAAAAACCCTGACCATATGCGGCCCTTGGATCTTAGACTTCCCAGCCTTCAGAACTGTGAGCAAAACAGATGACTGTTCATTATAAATGACCCAGTCTCAAGTTTCTGTTATAGCAGTACAAAATGGACTAAGACAGCACCCAGTAGGGTTATAATAAAAACTAATTTGTTTAGATTGCAATATAAAATCTGTCTTACAACTCATGTTCGAGGTTTAAAGACGCCTACTGAATATCAATGTTGCTGTCGGTCAAGCAATAATCCAACATATCTTTTTTTTTTTGAGAGCAATTTTTTGCTATAGGATGCATACGTTCACCAGATAGATGATGTGGGAGTCCAGCACTTTATCCACTATGCCACCCGCTGGCATCTCAATATATCTTTAACATATATATTTTTAATGCTGTTTTATTGGCCAGACTGTGGTGTGGTGGTTAAGATGGCTGGATCTCACATGGTCAACTGTGTGGTTTGAGTCTTGGACCTGGAGGATTAAAAAACATGCTTGGATATGTGTGCATGGATGCCCAAAATCCTGAGAAGATGCAGAAGGGATTGCAACATGGCCATCCCCTCTGGGAAGGTACTTTTCCCCTTTCTCCCTGGTGTGTGTATGTGCCCTATAGCAAACATTTTAAAATAAACTATGTCATAAGGCTCAAGTGTTTATTAATGAATAATCTATATCAATTAAATAATGTAAGACCCTCCTTGCATTTGTACAGTGTTTCATTCTTTGTGAACTGAGAGCTACACAACTCTATTAAGATAGCAATGAAGATATTACAACCCTTTCAAGAGGTGAGACATGTGGCTGAAGAAACACTGGTCATGAAACAAACAAGTAATGTTTGGGGATTACAAGGGATTTGCAATTCAGTGTTTTTTTTTTTTTAATAGGCTTTTGTTACAGGGTGCGTGCGCTTGCCAGACAGACAGAGACAGAGAGATAGAAAGTGAGAAATCACCCCCCAGAGGGAATGGCCACGCCGCAATCCCTTCTCCTCCATTCTCCTCTTGGGATCTTGGACACACACGCACACGCACCCAGCGTGAGTTTTAAGCAATTGGGTCTGTGACGTGAACCACGGTCAACTACGTGGAAGTCCAGCGACATAGCCATTATGCTAACTGCTGATCTCCAATTCAGTGTTTTGATCCTTAGCTGAAAATATATGTAAATGGAACTTTCTATCTCAGTAAATAAAAAATTTAGTAAACCACTAGAGAAACATTTCTATTCAAACAAATGAGGCAAAAGAAATTTCTTGGTCCTCAGGTTTTGGGAAGGAAGGGAGAGGCAGGGATTCGACTCACCTGTTTGTGACGTACCAGAAAGCTGCCAACAGTCCTGATAGCCATGTACCACTAAGGAGCCAGCTGGTTATATAAAGAGCTGTGACGTAGACTGCTTGGAGCCCAAATAAGGTGTAAATATAAAAGTAAACTGGCTCTAGGTATTTCTGTAAAAGGGAACAAAAAAATGTGTCAGAGAGGGCCTAAGTGCCCCCACTGTCATTTAAGAAACAGGAGAGTGGCAATGTAACATTTATAAGCCTACTGCTAATGCCCAGCAGTAAGCCCCTGCCACCCCTTCCCATCTAGAAGTGCGAGGAGATTTTCCTTCCACTACTAAGATAAGAGGGAGGGAAATCCCTACGTGTCCTGCCTTCGTTCTTGATACCAGACATGTTTCCCACCTAACTTTGTCTAACTTCACTGTGTTCACATGACAAGTGGTCACTGTGATTTGTTCATTTCACAATTGTTTTATGTCAAAGATAAATCAGGAATGATGACATGTCTCCAAACTAAAATATTTATTGGCTTCTAGACTGCATGTATCTGTTACAAGCTAGAAAACATCTATTCATAAAAATCTTATCTTGGGCCAGCCCATGGCATGGTGGTTAAAACAGCTGGACCTCACATGGCCAACTGCATGTGGGTGCCAGATCCAGCGGTGTGAAAGACGCACTGCGTACTCGTGTGTGTGTGCCCAAAATCCTGACAAGGAGAAATGGAGAAGGGACTGAGGTGTGACCACGCCCAGTGAGGTGCATTCTCATTTTCTTTGTCTTTCTTTTTCTCTGTCTCTCTCTGGTAATGGAATGCTCTAAGCAAAGTAAAAAACAAACCAAAACAAAACAATGTCCAAAACTTGCATCTTATAAACTACAAAGAGGCAGCAAAGTTTATAACATGGAGAAAATTATGTTATTCCAGATTGTCTACCAAACCAATGGAAGATCAGAGGATATGTGAAACTTTCAAATTGAACGATTTAATGTTACAGAACGCAACCTACCTGGATAGGCAGAAGTCTATATAAAATACTGAGAAAAACTTCTTGGTAAATATTCATTCGCTGAAGGAGGTTAATTGTCCTCATAGATTCGGTTTTATTATCGTATATTAAGCCATGAAAACCTAGATTGATATTTGAAAAACCAGGAAAAAAACAAAACAAAACAAAACGATTATTCATTCATTTGGAGTGATTCGGCCTTCAGTGTGCGCCAGAGATTGTGGCAGGCACCAGGATGTCAGAGGAAGAAGAAAACCCACTGCTACCTCGAAGAGCTCACTACTGTGAGATGAACATGACTGATGCTTACACGAACACAGGAAAATTAAAACTTTGGGACTGCCATGAAAAAAATAAAAGCCACATGGCTCCATACAACCTGCCCTCCTGTCATGTGATCTGCTTTGGGGGAAGTTTACACGGCCTCTCCCTACTCCCCAGGATGAGTTGGACTATTTGACGCACGCTGACCAACGTCATGTGAGTGAACGTGACACACCCCATGTATGAACAGAGGCTTTAAGAGAAGATGTGTGTTTCCAGCAGCTCCTGCTATTGCGCTGTCATGACACTGGCATGTTCCGATTGGGGGCTGGATGATTTGATATATGTTGAATAAACCAGAGATGTGACTGTCTCACAGCAGTCATGCAATGAGAGTAGAAATAAACCTGCTGTTATAGAACTCCAGAGGGGCTACTGTGACCAGGCTAAGTAACACAAAGTATGAATGGAGAGCTCAGAGAAAACACACATACCCTTACCATGGAAAAGATGCTTATCCTCACTCTTACGAAAAGTACAAATTAAAGCTTCACCAAGGGAGCCAGTACGTGGTTGTAGTGGTTAAGGCGCTGGACTCTCACATGGCCAACCATGGTTCAAGTCCAGGACCTGGAGGCTTGAATCTCATGCTGGGGGTGTGTGCATGTGTACTCAAAATCCTAGGGGAATGGAGAAGAGACTGCAGCGTGGCTATCCCCCTCTGGGGAAGATTTCTCTCTTTATGTCTCTCTGTCTCTCTAGTGAGCACATGCACCCTATAACAAAAATCTCCCTCAAGAAAAAAACAAAAACTACCAGATACCATTTTTCCCCACCAGCATGGCAAAATCAAGAAGTGTGACAATACATCGTTAGTGAAGTTATCATAGAAGTAAGACTCGCATACACTGCAGTTAAAAATGTAAAATGGTATGAAGAATTTCTTTGCAGAAGAATTCTGTGAGACCCAGGAAAATTACACGTGCATTTACCCTTCAATCTAAGAAGCCCATGTCTAGGAATCGATCTTAAAGACAGATTAGCAAAAAATACAAAATGACAAGAGGCACATTTATGTAGCCGACAACCCAGTGTGACTACTTGTAGAAACTATTATTTATCCACACAAACGAGCACCACACCGTTGCAAAAGGAAATAAGGGATATCTATAATGTACTGTAGAGTGATTGCCAAGATTTCTGTTAAGTCAAAAAAGCAAAATGCACAACAGTCTCTACAGTGAGCAGTTTTTCTATAAAAGGGAGAGACATATGAATATATTAAAGCATTTCCTTGCATTAAAAATCTTAACCGTGGAAGAATATGTCCATCATGAAGAGGTGTTGTGGACTGAAGTGAGTCATCCTCAAATTCTTATGTTGAAGCCCTGAAACCAAATATGGCTGTATCTGGAGACAGAGCCTAAAGCGAGATCGTAAGGGTGAGTTGTAACCTGTCAGGACTGGTGTCCTTACAAGAGGAGGAACAGACAAGAACTTGAGCCCATGTTCTTTCTCCCCCACCCCCTACCCCGGCAGGTGCAGAGAGGAAAGGCCATGTGAAGAGGAGCGACAGAGGCAACTACAAGCCAGGAAGAGAGGCCTTGCTAAAATCGACCCTAATGGCAACTTAATCTTGGACTTTGAGCCTCCAGAACTAACAGTAAAGTTCAATCATTTAAGCCACCACCAGTCAGTGGTGTTTTGCTATGGCAGGACAGAAGATTAATACAAGAGTTTTATGCTTTGAATGTTTGTGCCCCACCGAAAATTCTTAGGTTGAAGGGTGGGGCCCTCATGATGGGATTTAAGAGAGACCCCAGAGATCTTTTGCTCTGTGCCTCTCTGCGCTGTAGGGACATAGCAAAAAGCAGCTGTCTGCAAGCCAGGAAGAGTGCTCTCACCAGAAACCACTCAGGCTGGCACCTTACTTAACCTCGGACTTCCAGCCTCCAAAATGGTGAAAAAAGAATGTTTTGTTACTTTAGCAACCCAGTCTATGGCAATTTGTTAAGCCAGCTTGAGCAGACTAATAAAGGTGACTACTTGTAGAAACTTTATCCGCACAAACGAGCACTACGCAGTTGCAGCAGGGAAGAGGGATAACTTTATAATCTATTGTAGAGTGATTTCCAAGATTTCTGTGAAGTGAAAAAAGCAAAATAGAGAACAGAGGCTACAGTAAGCAGTTTTTCTATAAGAGGAAGAGAAATATAAATATTTGAAAGCATTTCCTTGCATTAAAAATATTAAGAATAAAGCAAAAACAAATGAAAGTGAGTAAGGAAGAAAACAGGGAGAAGGGACAGGGATGGAAGCGGACTTCTCTGAATGCTTCCTGTTTTATAGCGTTGACTTTGGCATCACTTAAACTTTTTAAGTATAAAAAAAATTAAATTTTATGAGACAATCCCTAAAAACCAAAAGCCAAGATAAAACAAGTAAATGTACTGAATTGGTGGCTTGGTGACACAGAGAAAACACTTTCAAGTGATCTGAAAACAGAGGAACGTGACTACATGTTCTTGGTGGGTTCTATCCTAAGAAAGAAAAGAACTGCCAACACAGCTCAAACTGTTCCGAGGTTCTCATATTGTGGGTAGCATTATTATTGTTTCTTTGAAGTATTATATATACAATAGCATATAACAAGTTAGCAATAACATTTACATGGTAAGAAACTAAAGTTTTCAATTTAGCAGAAAACGAGATTACAAATATAAAATTAAAAAAGGTTTAAAACCTTGTTATCCTAACTTTGAGCTGAAAATAATTATACATATTTATATTTGCTTTTTTTTGTTTTTTAAAGAGAGAGATTTTTGCTATAGGGTGTGTACACTTGCTGGAGAGACAGAGACAGACAGACAGAAAACAAACAAAATCACCCCTTAGGGGGATGGCCATGTCATAATCCCTTCTACTCCATTCTCCTCTTGGGATCTTGGGCATGCATGCACACAAGCCCAGGGTGAGTTTTAAGCCGCCAGGTCCAGGACTCAAACTGCGGTTGTCTATGTGTGAGTCCAGTGATGTAAGCATTATGCCATCTGCTGGTCTCCATATTTGCTTTTAGGAAGAAAAGTGAAAAGATAGAAAAGCGACAACTCTAAGATAAATGAATGTATGGGGGCACAGGGTACAAGAGGAAGGACTGTAGTTTTCATTCCTAAAGCCCTCCTGTCTTTAGAAAATACTGTTTACCTGCAAAGATCTCTTCCGAATTGAGATGATCAAAAGAAAAATTGGCAATAAAACCAAGAAACGGTGAAGAGAATACTTTTTGGGATAGAGTAGAATGACAAGTGGAGAGTTCATAAACTATTTTTTAAAATTATTTTATTCATTATCATCATCTTTTTTAATTTGGCCAGAGTGAAAGAGAGAGAGAGAGAGAGAGAGAGAGAGAGCGAGCAAGAGAGCAAGAGCGAGCAGGAAAGTGAAAAAGCAAGCTGTTGGGACTTGAACCATGGTCAGCCATGCGGGAGTCTAGCACCTCATCTACCGTGCCACATGCCGACCCCAAGTTCATAAACTATTATATATATTTTCATGGAATGGTTGTTAATAAGGAAAAACTACATGAGTTCAAAGGAAAACCATACAAGTTTTATGAAGCACTTGAAATGCTTTCATGCACAGTACTTCTTGGCTAAAATATTAAAAAGAATGCAGTACACACCAAATGAGACTGTTAATTACCTTGCATGAGGGTTGGTGCTTGCAGCATTTGCTTGTAGTAGGAGTAATACAGCCCACATTCTGTTCTGAATGAGATTTCTCGCTCCACTTCCTGAAACAAAGTTAGAGCTACTGGGTTTACATGACCTACTTTTGTTTAAATATGTCACTGCAGAAATAAGATACATAACTACAACTTAAAAAGAGAGAAAAACTCTGAAACTATGATCTCAAAAAATCTTGGCAAACAAGAACAAGTGAAGGCTAAAAATCGTTGAAGCTGGGTGATGACTACACGGAGGTTTGTCATACTAGTCTCTCTACTTTAGTACTTACAATTTTCCTATAATATGCCATTTTAAAGAACAGAGGTAGTGGGCCAGCCGGTGGCGCTGTGGTTAGGGTGGCTGGAATTCACATGGCTGACTGCAGTTTGAGTCCTAGACCTGGGGGCTTATTAAAGATGCCAGGTGTGTAGTGCCTCAAATCCCAAAAGGAGGAAGAAGGAGAGAAGGGATTGCTTTATGACTAGACATATGGGGGGTGCTTTTTCACTTTTCTTCTTTCTCTCACTTTCTCCCATTCCCCACATGTGCCCTTGGGCAAAATTGGAAAAAAAAAAAAAAAAAGAGGGAGAGATGGATGCCAGTGCAGCAGGGTACAGGCAGTGCCACTCCTGGAGAGCTGGAAGCGGCATGGGAGGTACGTCTTAGTTTCAGAAGGCAACTGCAATAGCTGGGTGTGGCTGAGCACACCAGTAACCCCAGCTAACTGAGAAGATGAATAGGAGGATTGGGACACAGCAAGACCCTGTCAAAAATATCTATCTTTGGGATTTCCCTTTTCCTTTTTCTCTCCTTCTCTCCATTAAAGGGGTAAACAAACAAACAAAAAAATGGAGACAACTAGTTAAATTTAAGTTGAAGTTTCAGATTTAAATTTTTTCTTTTATTTTATGAGAAAACTAAGCTTAGAAGAGGTCTCTCAGTGCAGCAGTTAAGTGCTGTGTGCATAGAAAGTCGGATCCCACATGGCTGATCATGTTTTGAATTCTGGGTCCAGGTGGTTTGAAACACATTACCAGGTGCCTATGTGTAAATCCTGATAGGATGGAGCAATGGAGGGAAGGGGACTGCAGTGTGACCATGGCCTACTGGGGAGTACGTTCTCTCCAGCAATTAAAAATATTTTTCTTAAGAGAGATTTTTTCTATAGGGCACATGTGCTTGCTAGAGAGACAGAGAGACAGAAAGCCAGAAATCACCCCCCAGGGTGGATGGCCATGCTGCAATCCTTTCTCCTCCATTCTCCTCTCAGGATTTTGGGCACACATGCACACGCGCCTGGTGTGAGTTTAAGCCACTGGGATTAGAACTCGAACCACTGTCGACTACGTGGGAGTCCAGTGACATAACCATAAAGCTATCTGCTGGTTCCCAAAATAAATATTTAAAAATCCAAAAATAAAACTAAAAAAAGCTCACACTACCATCCACAGGTAATATGAGTGAGACATAAAACAGAAGCATTATTTTAAAAAATCTCCCAAAGGAAAAGAACTATAATTACACAGACACCTCCCTAAAAACGAACATGATATAAGATCAACAGTTTTCTTCTGGGACCGGCAGTTAGCATAATGGTTATGTCGCTGGACTCCCACATAGTCGACTGTGGTTCGAGGCCCAGACCCGGCGGCTTAAACACATGCCGGGCACGTGTACGTGCGTGCCCAGGATCCCAAGAGGAGAATGGAGGAGAAGGGACTGCGGTGTGGCCATTCATCCTGGGGGGTGATTTCTCGCTTTCTGTCTCTTGGTCTCCCTGTCTGTCTGGCGAACACACGCGCCCTATAGCAAAAACCTCTCCAAAAAAAAATTAATTAAAAAAATTTTCTTCTAGGAATATGAGGCACTGTTATTTAAAAAGGACAAATTTTATATATGAATTTTACTTTGACAAGTGTTTAGGTAGGCAAATGGATACACAGAATATTTAAACTGCTTTCAGATAAATATTAAATCTTAGAAGAACTGGAAATTTAAAGTAATAGCAATTAATTTGACTGTAAGAAGCTTTTATACCTAAATCATTAACATAAAATATGAAAGCAATGGGTAATGAGGCTGAAGACTTTCTGGAACAATCCTATTAACACCCTTACATTGTATATTTTATATACATACAAAAGTATGGATGAACAAAAAGTTACAATCCATGACATTATAGAGGCTTTTGTCCCACTGTTCAAAAAGCCAGGCTCTAGAATCTGCAAAGCACTGTCTAAAATGTAATTCACTGTTTTTTCATTATAGCACACCCATATTCCATAAAACCAACTTTATCTGGAGATGATAAACTGAACATCTCACTTTTTAGCTGGTAAACTTCTTTTAGCACATCTTTGTTTTCCCCTATCTTCAACTATTTTTCAAATGGTAATAAACATTTCATTAAAACAACCACTGGGAACCAGCAGTTAGCGTAATGGCTATGTCGCTGGACTCCCACGTAGTCGACCGCGGTTCACGTCCCGGACCCGGTGGCTTAAAACTCACGCCGGGCGCGTGGGCGGGCGTGCCCAAGATCCCGAGAGGAGAATGGAGGAGAAGGGATTGCGGTGTGACCATCCCCCCTGGGGGGTGATTTCTCGCTTTCTGTCTCTATGTCTCTCTCTGTCTGTCTGGCGAGCGCACGCGCCCTACAGTGAAAATCTCTCCAAAAAAAAAAAAAAAAAAACAACCACTCATGCTCTTTATCTTCGGACTTGGAAATTATTTAATGTATTTCTCCTACCCTTTAAATATTTCTCCCATTCTTTAAAAAAATTATAAATCAATTCATGAATAATACATTGAAGAAATACTCTCAATTATCTAAGAGTGTACACATCTAATTACTGATTCCAAAACACAAACTATTATGTTTTATCATCATTAACTCTTTTTTGTAAAATGGGAGGTAAGGTGGTAAACCTTACACATTGAACTTCCTTCCAGAGAAAACAAATTTATCCTGGAGAAATCAAGCATGAAAAAAAGATACACCAGGCTTTGAAAGGTAATTTCATTAGCACATTTGTTGTATAAAAAGGAGAATATACAGCCAGTTGATGGAGTGGTGGCTAAGGCACTGGACTCCCACATGGTCAATCGTGGTTTGAGTCCTGAACCTGGTAGCTTGCTTTCTCACTCGCCCCTCCCCACTCTCTGTCTCTTTCTGGTCAAATTAAAATAATAATAATAACTAGCAGTTAGTGTAGTGGCTATGTCGCTGGACTCCCATGTAGTAGACCACGGTTCGAGACCTGGACCCAGTGGCTTAAACTCACACTGGGCGTGTATGCGTGTGTGCCCAAGATCCTGAGAGGAGAATGGAGGAGAAGGGATTGCGGTGTGGCCACACCCCCTGGGGAGTGATTTCTGGCTTTCTGTCTCTCTGTCTCTGTCTTTCTGGTGAGCACATGCGCCCTACAGCATAAACCTCTCAAAAAAAAAAATGATGATAATGAATAAAATAATTCTTAAAAAAATAGAGACTACAGAGTGAGAGCTTTCTCAGCTTTAACAGTTCTTACTGATTTGTGTTGTATCTTTCACAACAGGAAAGGTAACTCTGCTTAGTAGTTATGTTAACCCATTCATTTTTAATCTCTGAGAAAAACTTCTCTCTTGCTTTTGATGACACTAAACCTAACTGGTACCACTCATCTCTAGAATGTTCAAATGCCTACTTGGTCAAATAACCACAGAGGCTATGAACTGATGTTAAATGAGCAAATACTAGCCTTCCCCCCCACACACACAAATAAGAATAAAGAACACGTCATGTTTAATTATATTCCTTTTCTTCTCTCCAGCTGCCTCAAAGTGTTGAAGGTGGTCCTTGATGGGCTATTCTAACATCAAACCTATATCCCCAGATCAGACGGGAGAGGCAAACCAGTCATGCATGGGCCTGAGCTTCATTTCCCATTTGGTTCTAAGAATGAAAGACTAACCTTATGAAGATGGGGAAAAACCAAACAAAATGAAATTGCTCAAAGTATTACAAGTAGAAAGCTTCTGTGCCCCACCCCTCTCTTTAATATACCCAGAATGTGTAAAGAACAGAGGGGGACCTAATTAGTAAAAATGCATTCAAACATGATTAATTGGTAATCCTGGCACCAGCTGTAAAGAACCAAATGCTATACTTTATTAGACAGACACTTGCAAGTTTTACATCTGCTTCATGCTAAGAGAACATCTGCTTTACTCATTCAAACGCTTTTCCAGTTTTACAGCAATTTATACTTTGCCTGGTGGATCATGCTAATGAAAGTATACACCAATAGAAGTTACCTTCTAAAGAATGCGAAAGGAACAAATACTCCATATCTTAATTTGCATACGATCCACAGGGAAAGCAAGGTTTGCTGAGGGAATGAAAACATCTCTGAAGATAATGACAGAAGCAAGTGGAAAGACAAAAGAATTGTATTTTTAAACAAATGTATGGCTAAAATCATTTAAGTAGTAGTTTACGTAAGTCACTTAACAGAAGCACTAAAAAGAAAAAGCACAGAGGGAAAGGAAAGGCTATTCACAATTGGTGATTCCCACCCTCCATAGGCATTAAGGCACGTTGCTGGCAATGCACAAAAGGTGAACAAGCTCTTTAATAGCAGTAAAGCCAAATCTGTAGAGAAAGCATATTGATTTAGTTTTTTTTAAAAAATTTCCTGTGCTTAACTTTTGTTTCTAAAAATTGTCCTCCCCTACCCCCAAAAGTAATAATTAGGCTGTTGGTAGTGGGGAAGCCATTGAAAGATTAACTTTATGAATGTTTCAGAATTAGGTTAACAAATCATCTCACCAAGAAACAGTAGCTCATAATCAGACAGCTGTTCTTCAAGTTCTGTTCTGGGAATCATGCCCTCAGCAAACACATTTATGGCACATCCATGGTTTATTGTCTGGTTAAATTCATGTCCATCTGTTAGAATGGGATGATTCTTGCCCCAGAGTTGATTAAAGCCGTGCCACGTGAGAGCACACTAGACAACTGCTGAAGTGACAAGACTTCCACTGGGCCACGCTGAAGTGATCAGTACGGTCTAAGTACTCCTGC